TAAAAAATGAATTGCTAACCATGTTATGTTCATATTTATCTCCACATTAACCTAAAACTTTTTGAGCTAAATATTGTTTGTTAATTAATAACTTAAATCATAATGTAATTAACTCAAAATATATAACTTCATATTTTTTATAACTTCTACACCTCAACATCTATTATACATTATCCATATATCGTCGAAAATTAGTTAAACGGCCTTCAGTGGTTGTCTATATATTATATTAATCCAGTCTACTACTCACTTCAACCTCCACATAATTCCCGCTATAACATACTACTGCTGTTGTATTATTATTATGATTATTATTTTTATTGTTATTAATTTTATCATCGCTACTTATTATATTAAAATTATATTATCCACGGTGGCGGGTGGTGACGGAAAAAGAAAAACTAGCTGTATGGTCTTAAAAACTGGAAATGGCAGGTAAGATGGAAAAAAACTAACGAGCGTGGCGGACGTGGCGAGGCGTAAAGTTCTTAACAACTTGACGCGCCCCAGCTATTCATCAGAAGGTTGAAGAGATGCCACGCCACCGCAGTGCCGAACGCAAATCCTCGTGTCGAGAAAGTTGTAAATTATAACGAGATAAAAAAAAAATAGATATAAAAAAAAGAAGAAATAGCTTGGTTGATCCCACGGGGTAAGGTGTAGTGGTGGTAGCAGCACTACAGAAGGGTTTCTGCAGGGTTAAAGGTCTACCCCGAGCGTCTATCAATCTTCATCGGTCATCCGGAAGCTTGCCCTTCGCCGCCGCCCATGCTTGAGCCCGCGAGCTCTGCCACTATGGTTTTGGCGGGTTATTCGGTGATAATATCAAAAATGTTTTTGCCCATTAATTTTGCGCACATAGAAACTTGGTCCGAAAATTGTTCACCCTCCCTCTATATATGTATATTGAGTGAGAGAGGGAGAGAGAGAGTAGTATACATATATATTTAGGGGATGTGTAAAGCCCTACGATCCACCAYTGGTGGATGTTCCTAAAGTCGAATTCACGAGTATTATAGTTTGCCGACGTTACAATAACCTATGTACCTACACACGTTAAACACGAACACGTGATAACCCTTAAAGTTTCACTAAACGCTCACGTATACTGCCAACATACGAGTATGTAACCTATCCACAACGCTTTGAGGAAATTTTATAGTTTGCATGGACTGACAGCTGTCCGTATGGTCGACAACGAGCACGTTTTATGTTAATACATAGTTTTGTTTTTTATATTTTCAGTTTTATAATGGTTTATTGATACTAMAATCTAGGCATAAAAGGCAATTMACTAAATAGACTAACCCACATTTTTCTCATCCTGATAGAATAATGAATTTCAAAAATGATTTTGGAAATTTTTTAATATTTTTTAACTCCATAATATTTTCAAGTACATTGGTTTTGTACGTGATTTTAGAAGTGACAAGTGGCGATACTAACTTCTTTTTTCAAATGATAATCACCCATTTTCCTGCGAGTTATTAAGATGACTTTTTGGAAAATGTTGATGTGTTCAAAACCAAATTCAAACTAGAAGTCTTTGAGTTATTTAACTTTGTATATCCCGCGGAAAACTCTTTKATCATTGTTTGAAAATCGAATAATTTATAAATATTATAGTATGTATTTACATAGTATAYTTAAAAAAAATCACAATTTGAATACCATTCTGTATACTGTATAAAATAAACACTTAGATGTGTTATAAATGTTATGACTTACAACGATATGAGGGYGAACCCTATGAAAAATAGATATTTATATATACAGAAAATACACGTGTCAATAGAAGTTGGAGTTAAAATGTTTTGAAGAYAAGTAAAGAATCTCAAATACCAATAATAAATAAAAACTAATGATGATAAAAATAAACATGGGATATACAAAATGTAACACTATCTTCTTTAATTTTATAATTTAAAATTACATGGGAAAATTCTGTAATTATAATATCTAAATAGTCTAACTARCTGAACGATCAAACATGGTTCAAAAAATTCCAAATGGATTTGCCTTATTGGCATGTGTATGGAACATCAAAATTATGCCAGATAAAGTCATTAAAGAGTCAAAGAAGTTTTATAAATGGGATGTTGGATTTGTGTTGTATTGATTTCATAATAAGTATGATCATGTATAAATCGTATGTGATAAAATGAAGTAATTATTTATAAATTTAATATTCTTGTTATAATATTATTCGTTAAGTATTAGATATACACATTATGGCTTTTGCTAATATATATCGCAATTAATTTTCTACTTAGGTCTATAAAAAGACATTTAAAACATAATAATATATAAATAATTTGAGTAAGTTATTTTATGTTACCTAACGTAGGTAACATCAATGTAATTGTGATCAATACCAACGAAGAATGTTGGATCAATTTGAAAAAAGACACACTTTTTAACTTTTTTAATGATAAAATWAAATTTACGGTAAAAATAAAAGACAACAGACAATAGAACGGGATGGTAGGTAAAAAATGTGTTTGCTTAAAATGGTTTATGGAATCTCAATGAAGTGATTTATATGCCGAAACGAGTATAATAAGTTTTTGCGTTACATAAATCTACATGTCAATCTACCTTCGATTATCCGAATCTCTAAGATCGTAAACGGAAATACGGCACTTATAATATGTCGAGAGTTCACTATTAATACGCATATGATWCGCGTATATTTGTATGAGTTCGTAAAAAAATTATTAGCAACATGTTGACTGCTTHTATGTTCCCACTTTTTTTGAAATTAAATCAAATATTCATCGAGAGAATATTCAATTATTTATGTATAGGTATTTTTATATATTTATAAGGCACGTTAAGCCTTCTTTTYTTTGATTTTGTATAAGCAATTTTTAAGAGGTTTGTATATTTATTATGTGATGTTATCAATATTCTAAATAATAAAATCAACTGTCAATATTGTGGGTATTACTTAGAATATTTTTGATCTAAGYCTTGATATATCAGATAAATCTAAAACATATAAATTTTATTTTAAGTACATAGTTTAATTTTATAAAACGATGTACCTTATAACAATAGTTGATAACTTTAGGAAATAATTAGGTATTAATCGCCAAATCATAAAAACATAATTATATTTATTGGAACGCTAAGCAACTGCTGAATACTTTAGTGCCATTATCATACAGTTATAGAACAATGTAAAAAAAAACACTCGATCAGTTGTTTGGTACTCTGTATTTTTAATTTCTATTTTCATAATTATGAACATAATGAATATTTGTTTCTTTATTTCAACGAMAAATAAATAAATTTAATACAATAAAAGTTTTGATATTAGCAATAGTGATACAATATTGACAATCTTGATTATACAAAGTTTTATATGATCTTCATATTATTCGTGATATGAAGGTATAAGAATATAATTTAAATGCGTGAATAATCAGTAGTAATCGCTCATAATCTGTACACAATCCTACTGTCCCTTTCACAAGTAATATTGTTTAGCTACTCACGGTAATATGTGTATTAAAGTTGTAATGACTGCAGCAAATAGATATAATAAATGACGGCACGATGACGTGGTGATAATTTCAGTCAGTGCGCGATGGTCGATAAGATAATGTGTCCCCGTTCTAACCTGAGTGGCCGAAAACGGAGGACAACATTATCAGACGGATGGTATGACGGCGTGGTGATTATTTCAGCCGGTGCGYGACGGTCAATACGGYAAATGTGTTCCTGTTCTAACCTAGGTGACCGAAAACATGGGACAACACTTGTAAGAGAATAATACAGTCAAAAAGAGCGGACGTAACTACGCATCAAAATACGGTATGCGGACGAACTGTTTGCGTGGCTCCGGGCAAATAATCAGCCCACAGCTGATCAGCCCATATAGTAATTACTCTATATTACTCTATGGATCAGCCGAGYAAATGACTCTCTAGAAACCGAAAGAAATCGTCAATTGCTAACCAGATATCAGCTGTGAGCTCGATTGCTCATGTGGACATGTGTCAGATAGTCTTCAAAAATTGTAATATTATCGTGAATGATGGTTACCCTACACGGCCTTCTGTAATAGGATTCATCAGTGTATTTATGAGTTTGTGTTTGAATAAGAGAGAAATTTACCCTAAATACATACCTACAATAAATATATTATTTATATATTTACATAATTTATTCAATGTTCTAGGGCATGATGATTTTTCAGGTTTATGCAATTCTAGTTCATTGTGAAAAACCAGTATAGACATAAAGAGTTTTTGGTGGGTATTATGTTATCAAGACTATATTTTGTGTATATATTACAAAGTGTATGTTTCTGATGAGAATTAWTATCTTGGGGAATGTTCAACATTCTGATAATTTAGATGATTGTTATAACGCAAAAATCCCAAAGTGCTGTTAGAGATGTAATGCCTAATATTGCAAGGRTGCTTTGAATAGGACTGGAGAAAGACACCAATGGATAGTAGAATTCTCGTATAGTGGATGGTTCCAATATTTTTAAATGGGGAGGTTGAGGTATARAAAATAGTTGGATACCATAGTTGAATTTGTAGTATTAAAGCTTTATGTGTTTTCTTGAAAGTTAGAGACTATAGGCACCCCATAATGTATAATCTGAAGTCGAAGAAACTAACATAATAAATGTAATATTATATAAACATTATAATAGTATTATTTTTGTATCGTATCTTGAATTGCGTATAATGTTTAAAATATTATATTTCTATATAATTTCTGTATAATATGACTACTGGATTAATGTATATTTYCCCTCGTTAAACAAAAACTAAATGAGTTCTAGAACTTTTAATATTACTTTAGTAGTTTATTGTTGTTACTCATTAGTAAGTTTGGATTTTTTTTAACACGTATAATAAACATATTATATTTTGGTAATTTAAAAAAAAAGCTTTACATAAATCTGTGTAAAATATATATTTAAATTGCATTTTAAAATAAAAATTATTAAATTAAACCTTGCTTAGTGATTTTGTTTCTTATCCTGTAGAAGGTGTCTTATCTCCTGCTGCAGAAGGAATTTTATTCTGAATGTTTAGTTCTTTAATTAATCTGAAAATAAATAAAATAAAATAAACATAATAATAACTTAACACATAATTTGTTCCATACTTTTCGACATCTGTTATAGTATCTGCCTCTGTAGATTTTTTCAATATTTTTTTTAACGCTCCTATCACAAATGCTTTAAGTTCAACGAGATAACAAAAAATAAATTGCATTATCAACTAAGTAAATTAAATATGTTTTATATCAATTTTACTTTGTGGAGATTTATTGTCATCTTTGCAGTCTTCGACTTTTGGTTTTCTCTTACCCAATTCGTTTAATTCTTTGATGTATCTTGGCTGATTAGTTACTCGATCCATTCGTATTTCAATATCTACTAATTTTTTCTGAATATCTTTTTCGTTAAAATATAAGGAATGTTCATCTATCACTTTGAATTAAAATAATCAAAAAATAATAATGTTATTAAGTGTTGTACTAGAACAAAGCATATAATCAATTACGTTATAAAAATAAAATATTATACCAATTAAAAAAATACTAATTTAAAGAACAAAAGTTTTTTTTTTTTCATAATATATTATGTATAATATGTATATTTATAGTGATTAGCATCATGAAACTAAGTAAAACATTAATCACAATAATGTTATAATTATAGTTTAATTTTAAAAATTATACAATAACCAATTATAATCTGAAGTTTCTAAGGGCGTTTTGTCGTCTATTTACATTCAAATAAAACAAATAAAAGAAAATTAACAATTATTGTGAACTAAACAGTTAATGAAAATCACATTAACTAACTGAGGTATGTCACACTGTACAAATAAATAGAAAATGTAACTAATTCAATAGATTAGTCTTATTTTAATAATTAATGCACATATTGATAAAGCTGTGTTTTATTAAGTTCCTCTACATTATTTGATTTTTTTTTTCATTTATATTTGAGAAGTAKCGTTTTATGCGCTCACTAGATATTGTATGAAAAAAAAAAATTACATAAGAATTTTAATAACAAATTACTTCACGTTCATATAAATATTTATGAATCATCAAAAATGTAAATACTTACTTTTTTGATCAGGTTTTATATCGGTTTTAAAATCTAAAAGTTCAACGCTTGATTCTTGCATTTTTTTTTTATACTGTATTTCATTAATTTTAGAGTAAAGTTCTATCATATTTTTTTCAAGCGTTTTTACAATTTTACCAATGCTTTCTGGGTAACTATAATCCACCTTTAAACATCTCAAAAACTCTAACGCCCATTGAATTTGATTAATRCCTATAAAATATGAAGAAAAATATAAATAATATTAGGCATTYTTTTGTGTCGTTTATAGTATGTGCTATTTAATATCTACCCATTTAATTAATGTCTTCGAAGACGTAACTAAGACATTAGTAGGTATAACTATGTCTACTATACTACCGTATTTAACTATATAAATATAATAGATTTTACCACATCGCATTTGTGTTTCTTTGTTGTACATTGACCACAACACTGCAATCAAATTGTCAAATAAAATTGAATACGGCATTTGCAGCGCAAATTGTTTGATGTTTCCTCTTACCGGAGCTACGCAGAATTTGTATAACAACAGGCGTAATGTAACTGATTGTTTACCTGTAGTAGGTGGATCTGCAGTGATGTTTCTGTAATAAAATGTATTATAGGTGTAATTGATCTACTCAAAAAACAAATATTCATACTCATTATTTGGCTCAGTGTCCGTCATTTTCTCGTAACAAAAATTTAATTTGAGTTATGTATTAAATTTAAAACGATTTATTGTTTATCTAATTATTGCAAAATATGTGAGAAATAATTTTGTACGCGTTACCATATTTATTACTGTATGTATATTAATGTGGCCAGCAAAGGGAATAAAATAACATTTATTGTAATCAAAGTGATAATACAATACTATAAACAAATGATTTTTATAATAATATAAACAAAATAAATCACATAAATATTTAGGCWCCTTAAATAATATATATAATAGCTAATACCAACATGTATTTATCTTTATAACATATTATAATCTCTCATTAAAATTCAATAACTGTGTATAATTTATTAAGAAACTTATTTAATTTATAAATTCAAAAAATTGACCAATGTCATTTTAAATTTACATGAAGAGTCAATAATTACTAAAATATAATATAACTATCAAATTAATTATAGATTCAAGGCAAATTTCTCCGTTAATTAGGAAAACTTAATAAAATGGTTAAAATATAAAATTCATACAAATAAAATAAATTTTGATTAGGGTGGATTTAAGATCGAAGAAATTAATGAAAAATAAAAAAACAGAAAACAGCTTATGTTGTGAGAGGTAATTAGAACCATCAGTTGAGTCATGTATGCCAACCAGTCRAATCGTTTATGCCGACCAGTACGGACGTATTCCGTAGCATATCGCCCCATTATCACAGCTAACCCTGTCTTCATGTGCAATCGCGCAATCTAGACACGCCCACCGCCCAACCAAACGAGTCACGTGCCCGCAGAAGCTTACCACACCAATCGGTAACCGATAACGATCACATGCAGATAAGCCACGACAAACAGCCAACCACAGCAAGATAGGTGCGCTTAGACACGCCCATAACCAACCACAAAGGATCACGTGCGATAGGCTCACCTAGCAGCAAACCGTTTCCCGAACAAGCAAGCGCAGAAACGCCTCTGTGGGACCCTATATCACCCAGTGCGCTGCGCTTTGAACGCCAGTTTTACAGCAAGCCGAAATGGAGCAGCAACTAACTGGAAGAGAAGTCAACTACCACACCGGGCCCGGTGCTCGGCCCCTGGTGATAACAAGTCAGACAATAGCAGCCAAATGGACTAGACCCACTAGTCACACGCACCGACCAGCATCCGGCTAATACTGACCCYGGCGGAAGCATCTAAAAAGACCTCCACTGCTAGTGGCGKGGCGGACCGACTGTCAAGAAACTTAAGGTGGTAGGTCCCTTCCAGGACAGCTCCAAACCAACGCAGAATTCCAACGGACACGATTGGAGCGCAAATCTGAGGGAGAAGCCTAACAGAGCGAGGTCTATATCATAGGTGATTTATCTTTTCCTATCTACCTTTTATCCTGAAAATTGTATTGGTAAAAGCATAATAAATAGAARAAATACAAATACTTCATGACAAAATAAATATTTTCTTTTATTCTTCAGACTGAATTTTAATTAAAATTGTATTCAATTGTTTATAAAAATTAGTTTAAAACCTAACAAAACATAAAAAATATCGAAAAATGCATTAAAAATAAAAAAAGTTATGAAAACGCTAAGTAATGAGAAATAATAGTAACATTTTTATTTCCTTGATGTACGAATTTCATATAAGTAACTTTGTGCTTGGAAAGCAATGTTTRARGAAATTCAAAAATAAATGCAATTGGCATTTAAATCCATTCCTTAGTTATATTACTATTAAAGCAATATTTAAAATTAAAAAATATGTTTTTAAATATCTAATTACTTATAAGTTAGAAATAGGTATAAAACAATATTTAAACGTACAGTGATGTATCCAAGTAATTTTACACTAACCACTTAATAAAAATAATATGGCCTTTCAATAATCTTTTTATATTCCTAATAACCCTGTTCACCAGATAAAATTCAATAAGAATCACGATTTATCAAACTAATGAATAAATAATTAATCGCGGTATTACCTTTACCAATAGTTGACTTCCTATTCATTCACTTACATCCTTTACCTACAATTTATTTATCATCATACCTAATAACTTGTTTTACAAACTAAATCATTGTATAAATTTGAAAAGTTTATTTTACATAAATTAATAAAAAAAGTTTAGATATTTCTTACTAAATTAATTAAAATAAGTTCATAATTAAATCTAATAGTGCATAAAAATGTGAATTAATAAATAAATAAAATTGTGTCCAATTTAAATGACATTAACAAAAAAAAAAAAAACTTTAAAAGACTTAAACAAATTATGCAACGACTTGTACTTAATTAGCAATTAGCATCCAATCGTTTAAATCGATTGGACTATTTATATTAACAATTATTATACCTAACTTAATATTCTAAGAATTTTATATTCAATGCAAAATATGGTGAAATACTGAAATGTATTTATTCAAATTTTAATTYAGAAATAAATACTGAATTAGGTATTAATACTTAACGTTTCACAATACAGAATTGATTGTATCATTAACGTTTTAAAATATTGAAATAGATTTTTATGGATATTTTAAATAAAAAAACACTAATGGTGAGTTGAAATCCACTTATTATAATTTTCACATAATATGATACTTTGTAATGCCTAATAAATAAATGTAAGAGACACAAAAACCAAAACTCATTATTTTTATTTTAATCATTTTATTATTATTATTATTATTATTATTCTATCACGTAAATGGCACATATGGTACAATGTTGATTTATTGTCATGAAAAAATATAAATATAGACTAATACTTATACCCGGTACTTATAAAATAATTAACATACACATAAAATATTTGTAGTGAATTGCTTTATACTGATAATATTTAATAGTTATTGCATATCAAAATCCTCTATATGTGTATTTTCAGGAACATCAATAATCCTTAAATTATACAGTAAAAATAACGAACAAAACAATAATTAAAGAAAGGTAATTTTGAACAGATACAATTTGACAACTTGAAAAATATAAGTAGGTATTCTAATTACTAATAACGCCGAAAAACAAAAAAATTAAAGTTATTTAAATTGTTCTATTCTTTTTATATACCTTACTAAAGTAGAAGAGTTACCTTTAAAATATATGCGAAAGGAGATATTATTTAATATAATAATAACATTTTTTTTTTTTATGCTATTTTGATTTAKTTTTTTGGAATCAAAAAATGTATGTTTTATTTATCGTTTATGTAGAACAATTCGATGCATTGTTGTATACTTATGCCGAATATCATTGAAGAGGTTTTGTACAACTGGTCACTGTTATTTAATTAGGATTTATGGTATGGTACTATTGTGTAAAATATTATTCTGCCATTCGTTGTTCAAATAAAACATTCATTTCTTACCGTCTTGGTCTCAAGTAGTATCTAGTATATTATAGTTAATAGCTATAATAGTAGCTAGTACTATACAGACTTCATTATTACATAATAATAATATAGTAACAATGTAVGTATACGACAGCGTAATTATTACATAATACGCACTATATTAGAATTCTGTTGTTATTATGCATGTCACAACGATGGCTAATTAGGCCTGTGACAATACGATTAATCGTTATTTTACGTGATAGAAACGATTAATCGATATAAATAAGAAATAAATAAATATMGATAAATTGGATATATCGATATAATTTACAAAATGTATGCTGTTAATATTGTATTATTATATTTGTTGTCGAGTTGACATGTTATTTTATTCTTATTTYATAATATTTTAAGCAGATTCTATACTTACTTATTTATTGCTTAATGTTTGTTAAAAAGGAAAATAAAACTTTAATATTATAAATTATACTTTTTTTATTATATGCTTGTAGGTACCGATGGATTATGGACTATGGATTATCGGGGCATGATGGTGTATCGTAGTGATAAGCCGCAGTCCCTGAATTGTGTTATTAGTTGATTGTTACTTCTTTACTGTCTTTGCTAGTAGCATTCCGAATTTTTGCGACAAAATTATGCCCCACATGGCATACATACATTATGCACACACGTGTTTCACCCTACCGTATGTTCGTGTCCTACACCCAAATACCCATTAGTCCAAGTTGCCGTGAGTTAAAAAAAAAAGTATGGGTTATCCGATAGTATCGATTATATTGGYTATTTCAATCCAATTGACTATCGAACATGGCGAATAAAATAGTATTGTAAAACACTAAAAACTAAAAATACACATTTTGTCTACAAAATCTATCGATTAATTGAAATAATCGATTATTTTGACACTTTCGACTATCGATTCTAACGAATGACTTTCTCGCTGACCTAGATTGGCTAATACAGTTATAATAATACTATTTCCACCGTTCTCGCTATATATATATGTATATAATATCACTAAACTACAGATGTGCATGGTCTGTAATCAGCTCGCTCCGTCAATTATTACTCTCCAGGTATTAGAGCAAGACTTACGTCATGCGATGCACTTCATAGCATAGATTAATATTATTATGGTACATCCAATGTATACTTAATGTATTAAAGATGACATTTGTTGTTTTATTATCCATGCTGTAAGCTTCGCATGCGAAGAGCAATGTTTTCGAGAGCTTTCATGCTACATCCGTATGCATACATTCGTGATATTATCACGCACGGTTCATGCGTGTTTTGACGTTACAGTGTTATACCTACTTAGGTACTCGTAAAAGCCGTAACATTGTATATAGTGTGTTTCAAATATCTATTACTATAATTACTATAATAGGTACTGATCATGTGTGTAAGTATACCTACGTATTTTAGKTAATTTTCAGAAACGCATAATATAATATAGTGTAATATATTAATTATGTGCAGTACATATCGATAGGCATACGTAGGTATACGGTTATCGCGCTTACATCAGGACAATATCAATTAGGTAGGTTACCAATATTATATACTGCGCTGTAAATATCAAAACACAATAAACTTTTTGTGGATATTGTTACAAGAGTGCCGTCAAAACTTTCACCGCCATGGTTAATCATGTTATACGACATAGTGATGAGCTAATATTGYCTAAGTTGTGCAAGCAAACTTTAGATTTGAGAAGTTACACTAGCGATTAAGTGGATTTTATTTGACAGAAATGAAAAATACGCTTAGCGTATTTCATATTTCAAGCGCACAAATATCCTCAAAATTCTAAACCCAAACAACAAATAATGTTTAAATTGTATAAGGATTTGTATTATACACAGTTAAAACTAAATTATTTCTTAAGAGGATAATAGCCACGTTTATTATCTTTTTTTGTTACACAAAATACCTGGTTTATTTTCAAACTTCTCATATATTCGTATTTATTCCATAAAACTAAACATTATATTTTTAAATTACAGTAAATATAAGTCATTGACTTAACGTCAATATTAATATAACATTATATTATGTTATGTATTTATGCATATAATAATATAATCAATGTTTCGTGTTTATAAACAGCAAAACAATTAAAATGTTTAAAATGTATTATAACTGAAATACAAGTGTATTAATATTCTACCACAAATAGAAAAAAATATGAAAAACTGACAAAACTTTCTAAATAAAAGAAGTATGAAGGGAGGTTAGATGAATTAAATTAGAAATCTCATTGCTTTACCTATACTAATAAGCGCTTAAAAGTAATATATAGGTTCAATGAACACGTATATTATCAAATTATATGCATATTTKCTATTAAAACTGAACAATTTATATCACATAACAATAACAGACAATGTATAATATGACTAAATTCAAATATTTAAAATTTAACGAAAAAAAAATGTAAAAATATTTTACTATTCATCGAAAACTTTTCTAGTTCTAAATTTAAAATGACCAAATACACGTTGATATTTTAAAAGAGGCAGAGAAGACAAGTACGGGAGGATGCCGAATTATAAGATTTAAAATTTATTTAATGTTTTAGATTTTCGGTATACATCTATATATATATTTTTATTTATCATTCATTTACTAAAAAATATATATCGTATTAAATCTATTTATATTWTATGGCAAAAATTTCAAAAAAAAAAAAACTTAATTACTATTCATTGGCCATAACTGATTTAARTGCCCATGCAAATCAACTAAGATTGATTTTATAAGAATTATTGAAGTTATATAGTTTGTATATATTATAAACTAAATCTGATAAAAACAATGTTATTAAACATAATTCAAATTAATTAAACAATAAAATATTATAATTCGAATTTTCTTTTAATTGTTGCGGCGCCCATCTCAAAATAGTCATTATTATATTAYATTCAAAATCTATAAAAATGATTGTAAAAATTTTGTTGATTAAGTTCAGCCTTCAAGTAAGTGAATAATTAAAATATTTAATTCTAATGACAAATCTGATGGTAATTTACTTATAATTAAGTAAAAATAATTAAYAAACAAAACATTTATTCTCATATTTGCGACGTAAATTGTTCAACAGATAAAAACAATGTAATATATCAACATCTAACACGTTTCAATTTTTTCTGACCTAAAAAATATTATCCATTTTACCTATATATAATAAGATTAAACCTTCAAGTAAGTGAATATTTATAAAGAGGATTTAGAAAAGTATCTGATGAAAAAATCTTATAAGTAATAATTTAAAAATATTTTTCTAATGAAAATCAAATTTATGAAAATATCTCAATAATGCGTCCTTTATCACGATATTTCCTAACGTTTACATTTTTTTTCATCTTATTTTAATGAAGTAGGAGAAGATTTTTTTCTGTAATACAAATAGTTAATAGATATTACCGTCATTATTACATAAAGAAAAATTGACAACACTATTAATATAATTTTGGTGTAGAAGATAATGTGATTAAGAAARTAATAAATTCGATAACGTATTTACCAAAATTTGAAAACTTCTAACTAGTAAAAAAGATTTGCATAAGTCGTATAACTAATAAACTATTAGTTATATAACACAAGTTTATTATGTGGTTCAACACACAATAAATTAAAATCGATTTAGTTGATTGTTTCCATAACTTATTTAACCAATTTTTTTTTTTTTTTTGTTTGCATGAATTATGTATTGAACATTTATTATAATATTTTAATACATATCATAATTAGTTTAAAAAAAATATAAATGTATTATAATATAATATGTATAAAGTTTTAGATAAATAAAATTAACCATATTAAATRCCATGTTGAAATGTTGGGGCTCTAATTATGATTGCCTTAATGGTGACAATAATAGTCAATAAACCAATTTATACATCATCAACGTGAGAAGATACTCTATACTACTTTGCAATATCTACATCGTAATATTTATTTGTTTTTAGTATTTTAGTCACTTTAATTGTTCAACGCGTGATTTTAYTCTGACCTATAATTGAAATCAAAAATATATAATTTACATTTTCTCGCGTCAACGATGGATTTGTGGCACTACCTATACTTTATGTTGCTATACGTCGCAGTTTGTGGAATATCAGTATAAATAATAATATTAATATTAATGATAGTAGTAATAATAATGATTATGACAACAACAACGATGAAATTAATCTGGTGTCAAGAGGACATCGGATCTTTGTTTTCAGTATCTTATCTTAAGTCCTCATAAATGGTTCATATGAATCAGCGATATAACATTAAAAAAAAAATCCTAAAATATATTCAATGACGTCTTTGGGGCAATCGTCATATGGCAACGGCGGAAGCACGACGTGCGACTTTCCAATATTAACTTACCCAAATTATGTACACAATTAAAATATAATATCGAAAATCGTGTTGCTACAAAATAATATTTTATTTGATAGTCCTTACGAGTTAAAGCCCGTAAACCTAAATAATTTTCAACTGACCAGGCGTACCCGTGTTTATAGTGATTATCGACTCTTATCGCAAAAAAAAACGKCGAAAGCGTCCTCGACCACATCGACAGCCCGCCTGATATGAGCTTTGGCGGCGATGCGGTGGCTGTGGACACGATCGCCTGTAGAGACGGTAGCGCTGGCAGCAGCTTGTCCGACTTGTTGGCCGGCTCACTGGCCGGCGTGGCCGTCGTGCTAGTCGGCCAGCCACTGGACACGGTCAAGACCAAGCTGCAGACGTTCCGAGGTCTTTACTCCGGGCCCGCCCACTGTCTGTCGCATACGTACAGGAAGTCCGGTCTACGGGGTCTGTACGCTGGTTCGTCACCGGCCATGGTGGCGGGTGTGGCTGAAAACTCGGTGCTGTTCGCATGCTATGGCTTGTGCCAGCGAGCGGTCGCCGCGGTCACCGGGGCCCAGGACGCCAAGCAGATGGACGCCCTTAGCAACGCGGTGGCGGGATGCGCAGCGTCCGTATTCTCATCCGTGGTCCTGTGTCCTGCAGAACTGGTCAAGATCAAGCTGCAGGCGGGTCGTGAGCTGGCTGAAACCCGCGGACAGCGGTTTCAAGGTTCCGTGTACCGCGTTACCAAGGTAATAATATTATATTATACGTTATTAGAAATATACATATTTGATTGTATTCGCTTGAAAAAAAAAAAAGGAAAGAGGACGATAGAATTGAATTTGTGTCACTATGGAACATTTTGGTTTTCAAAACTGTTACCTACAAAAATATTTTAAWTATTTCAATTTATTACTTCGATTGAATGATGGAGAATTGGTGGTATCTAATTGAGAACCTTACCTCATTCCTAGAGTGTGTCCGACATGGGTGTATTAAAAATCGGTAATTACTGATTACGTACTTAAACCCGAATAGGAATTGAAGTACTGTAACTCTGCAGATTGCTCCGTTGCTAGGTTWACGTGAATATTATGAACTCATATCCCAATCGAGATGGTATTTGAAATATAGTAGGTGGTTGTTGGATGTTGTTAGGCGATGTTTTAAACCAGCTTAATTTATTTAMGAAACTGTCTGACTGWAAATAACTATGATTCACCTAATATTTTTAAAGCGATGAATTACTCCCGAGGGGTTATTGTTTCAAAAATATCTACAATATTTATGTTTTGGCTTTTATCTAAAATGCTTTCTGAATGCCTATCACCTCGGTATTTTAGCAGCAAGTGAGCTAAATTATATCAATCAAATAAAAATGTTTGCAGCCAAACAGCCACTACCTATTGGATTGAGAAAAAGCACAATAAATAAAAGCACTATTATAGTCACTTGAAGTATTTTATCCTGGGTATATAAAATACACTTATTATAAATTGGAATTGAACTGTGCACCACTTAGGTTTAAAACCAGATTAAGTTGCAACCTTAAATACTTTGTGAGTATATTGAAAAATGAATGAATTTCAGCTGAGTAAATATTTATAAAAAGAAGAATGTAGGTCTAGAAAAAAATTCTGATCGGTATTGATGAACATAACTGATGATAGTATGTTTTACCTATTCAGCAAATATTACAAAATATTCATCAACTAGGTCTATTATTTGAATAATTTATACTTACCTATATATACTGTTGTATACAGAAAAAAAAACTTATAAGTATTATAATAGACCTCACATTAGTTATGCA